TCAACATTATTATTTAACATATCCTGTAAGTTTTGTAATGTGTGATGATTAGAAAAAACATTTCTGATTCAAAGTCTACTTCGTGATATGCCGTGCCCCCCTAGTGGTCAAATTAAAAGAAACTTTCAGGGTATGTTTCTGATACCTCTTAAGACATTTCCTGCAAGTTCTGTGATAATTGGACAAAGACCACACAGGTATAACGGTACCACTGTTTGGTCACTATGAAAATTGACCTTAAAGCCTGGTGTACTTCCTGTGGGCCTGGCGGACCCTCTACCTCACTCCCAGATGCTAGGACACTACTTCCCAACAACTGGACAGCAGCTTAATCCCCAGCCCTGGGGTTCACAGCGTGCTCTAATTCTTGTAACAGCAAGAACAGGAAATTTAGCTGATCAGGTGGAGACTTGGCGTGGTCAAGATAGTGGTCCCAAAATCAGACCTCTGGCACTCAGCCTTGATCTGGCTGAATTTGAGTTGCTACAGGGTGCTAAGTGAAGGTCCATCTCCACCGGGCCACTGCTGCCAAATTATGTAATTGAAGCATAGCACGTGCAGACTTTGTTTTGGTTGGTGCTGGTTTGTCATGTTAGCAGACTCCAATTATTAGCTTACAGTAGCTAGTGGTGCACACTGTTAGTGCTCCAGCTGAGCTGAAGAGAGACAAGGCATTTCTTAAAATAAAACTTAATCTACTGACTGTTAGAGGCAACTGTGAAAGCCAACGACAGTCTCAGTTTTTTAAGTTATGTTTCAACCTGTGCACCCACTGACAACAGAGCGCTGCAGGGATGACTTTTTTTTATAGGCCGGTACAGAAGTTAGTGTCAACCTGGTTCCCTCATCAGAAAGCCTGTGATAAGATAATCTTTGTTAGCACCACTAGTAGAACGCTAACGTTAGGCTATAAACAAACTACACCACGGTCACATGACTTAACGTCACCACAATGAAGCTGTAAAGTCGTGTTCGGCATGGTGACGTTCTGTAGTCTCATTTAGCCATTTGTTAGCAACCATCTTTTTAAGATACATAAAAGCTTCTAAATTCACAGTGGAGTATTTGCTGATGTTTTTTTATGTTGAACATGTATGTAGAACAAAACGTTTAAGTCTCTTCAGCTTCTGTTAACCACAGACCTTATTTCACACATCTAAGCAAGACGCCGCAGGAACAGGAAGTGCTATCATGCTAACTCATTTCTGGGACACTCTATAATGTTCAAATGTGTCTGTAAAGGGACGCCATTAGTCAGGAAACGATTGTGAATGGATACTGAGTTTAGGCTCGCTGGAGATGAGTCAGGCCTGCACAGATTCGATCACCGGTGATTGCTGCACAGTGCATGCTGGGTAAATTTGTGTCCGACTTCGTCATGACTTGCTCTGACTTCATACAAAAGTGGACAGTGATAATCTCGCGAGATCGAGGCGGCTACAGTTTTTAGAGCCAGGCGCTGCAGCTGCTCTCCACTGACTGTAAGGCCCAGGGCATGATGGGAAACACCTGGCTCTCACCTGATCTAACAGCTGATAGGTTCAGACGTTGACTCACAAAATGACGTTTAATATAAAGTCTTAATGTTGTTGAATTGGAGAGAGTTTGGGTTTTATTTGTCTGTTGTATGGGCTTATCCTGTGAACACAATACATGTGTGACTGATCAGAGACTGAATACAATCATATCACAGATCATAAACTGTATGTATTCTGATGTAGATCAACAGGGATGTTGCTCGGTACTCGTCCTGCATTCCTGATGCATTCAAATCTGAAAGGACGCAGTAAACTGACTATCGTTGCATCTGGGTGGCGCACTATTATTGTCCTTGATAATGCAACATTATGAACAACAAATCTGTGTTCAGTGGCGTCATGTGACTTTTTGTGATGTCACAGAAACCACTGGGAGCAAAGCTTGTGTTCTGAATGTTATTATCATACTGTTGGTGTTTTTGTTACGGTGCTCTGCACAGGTCTGACACCTGGCTGTCTCCAGCTCACCTTCACCACCAGCTCTCTGAAGCTCTGTGTACCTGGTTTAATCATGGTGGTGTCTGCTGCTTGGCATGTTGGTCTCAGAGGACCGCCGGTAGACAGTAACTGTATATTTTTAGGCAAGATGTAGTGTAGAGGGCGCCATGGTGGTGTGGTGGTTAGCACTCTCGCCTCACAGCAAGAGGGTTGCCGGTTCAATCCCAGGCGTGGGAGCCCTTCTGTGCGGAGTTTGCATGTTCTCCCTGTGTCAGCGTGGGTTCTCTCCGGGCACTCCGGCTTCCTCCCACAGTCCGAAGACATGCAGATTGGGGACTAGGTTAATTGATAACTCTAAATTGTCAGTAGGTGTGAATGTGAGTATGAATGGTTGTCTGTCTCTATGTGTCAGCCCTGCGATAGTCTGGTGACCTGTCCAGGGTGAACCCTGCCTCTCGCCCGATGTCAGCTGGGATAGGCTCCAGCCCCCCCGCGACCCTCAGGAGGATGAAGCGGTTAGAAGATGAATGAATGAATGTAGTGTAGAGTACTGTTAGAGACCAAACAAACAAGAAATCCAGTTGTGTTTTAGTGAGTCATTGCTGCGTTTCCAATTTCAGGTGTTTTGTGGCAACCCATCACTGGGTCTTTTCTCTTAACCATAATAACCAAGTGTTTTTTGTGCCTAAACATAAACGTTAGGGTCTGTGTCCACATACTATTTTTTTCTCAGCACCAGCATCTTTTTTTCAATAAAGAGTGGGCGTATGCAGCTGCAGCTGGAGGAAAAGGTGTCGCATCCAGCAGCGTTTTTCAGAGCGCTCCGCCTTTTTGTGCAGCCACTCCGAGCGCTTTGAGTTGAAAGTCACTCAACTCTTCAGAAAGACGCTGGTAACGTCGCTGCTGCTTCTCTAGTGAGGCTGCTGTCTTGCTGTCACAATAAAGACAGTTCACTTTGTAAGCTTGAAGTTAACTGTGTAGTCAATAGGGAATCGGGTATCGGCACCGATGACGTTATTTTTACAAAATCAGAATCGGTAATAAAAGATCGGAGGAATGAAAACAACAAAAATGGCCAGGTTTTTCATCTATGTTGTTCATTGTTGCCTCTGCTTTCCAATGTATTGTAACCAAGCGTCCTGAGTTCGCCTAACTGAGTACAGCTAATGAGCAATAAACGGACAGGAGTCGAGACAACAGGTTCAGCGTCCACTTTTTTCCGAGCAACACAGCCACACCTAACGGCAGAACCTCGCCTACCACAGCCCTACGGTAACTCTGGAGGGACAATTTGTTTACAATTCAGAATTTGTTTACATTTTGTGCTGCTGAACCACGTTTTTTTTCTTTCTTAATACTTTGCAAAGTATCGGATCAGACTCGGTTTCAAAATAAAGGACTCGTATCGGACTCGGTTTCAAAATAAAGGACTCGGTATCGGATCGGATGCAAAAACAATGTGATCAGGACATCCCTAGAAGTCGACCCTCTGTTAATGTATCGTTATGTTAGCTACCTGGCTAATGTTAGTGTCAAGATATTGATGTCACAGAAACCAAACCCACGCACTACACGTCATTAAAAAAAAGCGCCATCAGTGTTTGTTTTTTTTATGAAGCTCTGGGATGAACCCAGTGCCCTGCCAGCTCTTTTCTGCTCAAGAAAAAAATTATGTGGACACACGCCTTTAGAACTGTATAAATATAAACATGCCAATGTAACAGATCTGTGGTTTGCAGACACATTTAATGTGAACAGTTTTTCTGGTGATTATCCGTTGTTGATTATCAGTATCCACTCTTAGAGTGTGCGCACGTCTCAAACATTTATACAGCAGCTTATTTAAATGTTTATGGATCATATTGTATTTTTTATTCAAATTGTCCCCCAAGATGCACCACAGAGCTCCGCAGGAAGTCATTCCAGCCTGTGACCATCAACCTGTCCAACTCCTCCCTCAGAGTATCAGCAGCTCTGAGTCAATGACGGTCACCTGGACTTTATTCACCTCTCTGCATTTATAATTCATAATTATCTGTAATACTGTAATACACTGTGAAATAGCAACGACAGGTACAAGTATGAGCACAATATATATTCTATATATCTGAATGTAACACTAGTTTATACAGTGTTACGTAGCAAAGTGCACATATCTGTATATTTTTACATTCCGTTCATTATTCCTAATTTATTTTAAATTCACAGACTTCCATGTTATACTCTAATTCTTACTTATTTAAACTCTATTCTTTACAACAGAATGACTGGAACAAATCAGTTTCCCCTCAGAGATCAATAAAGTATTTCTGATCTGATGTGAACTATAATGTATAACCATATTTCTGCATAAAAACACCACTCAGAGTCACAAACTAGGTAAACAGGTTCTTTTTAATCTGATAAACTAACCTGGCAATCAACAGGCAACAGTAGGAAACAGTCTGTTAGCGTAGTTAGCAGCCTGTTAGCGTAGCTGGCAGCCCATTAGCATAGTTGGCAGCCTGTTAGCGTAGTTGGCAGCCCATTAGCATAGTTAGCAGCCTGTTAGCGTAGTTGGCAGCCCATTAGCATAGTTAGCAGCCTGTTAGCGTAGTTGGCAGCCTGTCAGCATAGTTGGCAGCCCGTCAGAGTAGCTGGCAGCCCGTTAGCGTAGTTGGCAGCCCATTAGCGTAGTTGGCAGCCCATTAGCGTAGTTGGCAGCCCATTAGCGTAGTTAGCAGCCTGTTAGCGTAGTTAGCAGCCTGTTAGCAGCCTGTTAGCGTAGTTAGCAGCCCGTTAGCGTAGTCAGCAGCCTGTTAGCTAAGCTAGCACACTGTCGTACGGTCTCTCTCTTTTTATAATAAACTCGAGGCAAATTCAAACCGAAATATTACAGAGAGAAGGAGTTTCACGTGTACACCAGATATCAGTCACAGAAATTAACTTCCGGTTGACTCGTCTCTGTACACAAACGGAAGTGGAAACGAGTCGTTTTAGTGTGGCTGTGAAGCCGTTTTTATCCATGACGTCATCAACACTCACCTCAACATCGCTGCTATCAGAGGACGAGCCTGCTGCTTGTCTTCTCCGGACCTTGTTGCTCCGGTGCTCCGGGTTCTGCTTGTCCTCCTCCATTCCGCTCCTCTACTGCTCCTCCTGCTCCTCCTGCTCCTGGTCCCTGATGGGGCCCTACACCCTCTACCTACCCACTTCCATTCCGTTTCCAGGTCTACGCAGGGGCTCCACCACATAAAGTGCCGACCCAAGCCACCTAATGAGGAGGTGAAGTGAATTATTAAGCCCTCCGACAACGAGCCTGCATTGATGCAGACTTCCTGATCATGTGCAACACAGAACTGTGTTCGTCACGGAAGAAGCTCCGCACAATTAAAGTTCCGCGCGACCAACCTGCGGAATAAACTGTTCAAACTGAGACAGACATTAATAATAATAATAATACGTCTCTATATAACAGGATACACATGTTCACAAACAGACGTGTGTGTGTGTAAGGACTGTAACTCACTAAATTGTGTATTACTGACATACATTACAATCATTAAAATATTATCAGACTCATATATCAGTTTGTTCTCAGACTGCAGTTGTTTTAATTATGATAGATTTGTTTATTAAACAGTGTCTGACTATAAGGTTCATATTTTATACAAGATCTATACGGGATCTTTTTCTGGTACAAGCAAAGGTTTTTATGGTTTTAAGAAATCACAATTATTTGATTAAGTGATTGTCATTGTTACCAATAATCGATTATGCAAAGTGTTTACAGTTTGCAGCCTTAAGTCCAACCAGAATTTAACGTCTGTCCGATGTAAGGGTCGGACGCCTTCCTGACAGCTGGGATGTTCTCCTTCATAAGTGTTTTTATTATAACCTCAGCAGGACAATGACACAGCACAGCTCTGCTGGTGTGTTATCAGGGTTTATGATGCTTTAGCCTTGGATGATGGTTGATGGTGTTTGTGGAAAATAGATTTTGGGTAAGTTTTCAGGATGAAAGACCTTTTGTTCATTAGGGCGGATAAAGTCCACTGATGATCACTGATCAAAGTTTGCCTCTGCTTGTGCGATGTGGTGAACTGGACGCCAGCCATACTGGTCTGATTTTGGCGTTGGCCTGCAAAGGCTCAGCATCTTATTGGCTTCAGCAGCTTTTGAGCAGGTCACCTGGGTCTCTATCATGAACTCTAAAACTAAGAAAAATCATTGTTTTTTTTTTTGCTGGCCAAATCACATTTTTGCTTTGACCCCATGACAGTATTTGATTAATTAGCCTCTGTGTTTGTAGATATCTTACAAGCCTGAGCCCCAAGAATGACGTCACATGCTGAATGAACAGTTGTATAATTAATGTAAAGTTACAGAGATTAGGTTTAGGCAATAAAGTTCCTATGGTTAGGCTTAGGCAAAGAAATATGAAGATATGAACATGTGACTCCAGGGGAATAGCCTGGGCGAAAGTCGTTTTTTTTTTTGGGACCCTTCCACCACCCAAACCTGCCTCCTTACAAGCAGAGGTGGGTAGTAACTAGTTACATTTACTTGAGTAACTTTTTGGATAAATTGTACTTTTCAGAGTAGTTTTAATGCAAAATACTTTTTATTTTTACTTGAGTTTTATTGTTTTAAAGCAACAATACTCTTACAATACAATATTTGGCTACTCTACCCACCTCTGAGTACTTAATTACATATAAATATATATGTACAGTATATATAAGAATATATTTGTGTTTCTTGTGCCTTGATTTATGTTATGTTTGTAAAGATTTAATTTATTTTTGTTTTAGTTAAAGGGGTATATAAATCAGACGTTATCAGACGTTACTCAACAGTTACTCAGTACTTGAGTAGTTTTTTCACCAAATACTCTTTTACTCTTACTCAAGTAATTATTTGGATGACTACTTTTTACTTTTACTTGAGTAATATTGTTCTAAAGTATCAGTACTCTTACTTGAGTACAATATTTGGCTACTCTACCCACCTCTGCTTACAAGCACTCGGGACTGCTTCATCGTCAGAGGTGGGTAGAGTAGCCAAATATTGTACTCAAGTAAGAGTATTGTTGCTTTAAAACAATATAAATCAAGTAAAAGTAAAAAGTATTTTGCATTAAAACTACTCTGAAAAGTACAATTTATCCAAAAAGTTACTCAAGTAAATGTAACTGAGTAAATGTAACTAGTTACTACCCACCTCTGTTCATTGTTTACTGCTGTCAGCGCATTGCTCACATGATCGCAGCCTTTCAGGATACATGAATTCGGGTACATTGCTTTTCATAGGAAAACATATGTCTGCAAAAACACAATGATTCTTATTTTCAGCTGATTATACACTAAAGAAAACAGCCTTTTTTTATCATATCCAGTTTCTCACAACATATCCCCCTAAATCCTACACACTGGACACCTTAAAGTAAAGGATCGGAGAGAGCTGCAACCTTCTCAACTAACTTTCCGAAAGAAAGCGAAACAAAAAATTACATTTCTCAAAATGATGAAGCTTTGCTTTAATAGAAGAAACATGATCAGACATCACAAATACAATTAAAGAGACATTGTACAGAGAAATAAAAAAGCTGATCAATATGTTAACAAGTTTAATTGTAAAAGGAAATCAATAAAAAAGGTGACACAGAGCAGCACTGATTCAAAATTCATCAGTCTGCTGAGGCAAACGAAGGTGACGTTCAATTATGTGTGGTGTGTGTGTGACTGTACAGAAGTGTGTGAGGGCTCTGACGTGCTGACAAAATATTTCCCATCTTATTGTTTGGCATCTTTAACTGATAAAGATTGATCGGCCTCCGTTCCTCGTCTGTGTGCAAAGGAAGTTCAGGATTTTCCAGCCCAAAGACCAGACTCCGGCTGGACCCAGTCTTCTCCCATGATGCTTTGCAGGCTGAAATCTTTGAAATACTCCAGGCGGTGGCTACGAGACAGAGAATTTAATATAAAGTGATCAAAACTCTCACAGAAACGCTAAAACATTCATACACACATTTACGCTGCACACGTCATTTTGGGTGTAATTACAGCGCAATGTGTTGGACTGATGTAAAAAGATTAAGTTGTCAATACTTTGTCATCAAAACCTTGTCAACTTTTTAAAAAAAAATGCTTAAAAAAGTCTGTCAGCAAAATATGAAACTAATTAAAGAGGCAACATGAAGATCAGTTTCTGTGAAAGAGTTGTAAAATGTCCTCTGTGGCTGCGAGGGACGTTTTCTGAAGTCCTCATGATGTCATCAGGGTTGTCTTGGCTGTGGATTGATCGTTAAATGTTCTGTATGTAACTTTCTACCTGTTTAATAATAATCATAGGAATCAAACTCACAAGTTGGGTTGTTGGCCCTCCACGAGGTCCTCCTTGGGGACGGGGTAGAGCGCCTCATATGTGCGCTTCTCTCCTGAGCCGTGGATGGCGTAGGAGTTCATCTTGTTGATGTTGGGAGGGAAGTACCCCCAGGGGACGAGAGCCTCACCCATCCATACGTCCCCTTTGATCGTGGCATTAAACACCATGGGCAGTTGTTGCTGGAGAAACAAAAATAAGAAATACTTTAACACATGACTCAAAGTGCTGCTGCTGACATCAATAAGTGCCTCGACGTCTACCTACCACGAACGCTTGGCCGACTCCTGACAGCAGTAATATCAGGTGCTGTCCATGTCTGAAATAAAAACACAGTTTCAAACTTTTGGTCACATGGATGTTTCAACCAATCAGAACTAACTCGCAACTCGTCACATACCAACACCTGATCAGAGGCCCTCTGCGTCAGATACCAATGCACCCTTTAGCAGCAGTATAAGATGCACTGGGCAACCATAGTATAAAGAGCAGGAAAGTCCACATAGAGTGGGCGGTAGGGGAATGGGTCAAACTTTTACCCAGGACCCAGCTGTTCATCTCCCGTGTAAAACGAAAAGTCAGTGGAATCATTTCAATGACAACGTAGTGTGCTACTATGTGTAGCATGCTACGCTAGTGACGCTAGTTATTTTGTTTATAATCAAACTTACTTACTTTAAGCCAAACCATTTTTTTTAAACCTAACCACGTGCTTTTGTTGCCTAAACTTCAGGAAGTACACCTAAAAAAACAAAGGTTTTGTTTACGTACGTTATAAACGTGTGGATCACCTAATATGATATTATCACGATACATAAGTCATGATACAATATCATTGTGCTTTTAAACATGTTTTGATATGCTGAGTGTTGCAATAACATATATTGTGATTTATTACCTTTTTTTATTCAGGAAAACCCTTGTCAACATTTGTTTAATCTGATGAGATAAAAGTTTTCATCTGGTCATCTAAATTCAGTCATTTGAACTGCGGCTAAATGTAATTTAAGGAATTATTTAAATAATACAAAAATCGATACTTGGCATCATATTGCCACACAAAAATATGATACTATGCTGTATTGATTTTTTTCACCCACCCCTACTACATTCTAGGTTTATTTCAGTGTTCCTTATAAAAAGGTATAATCACAAAGTTGGGGGACAGAGTTGTCTCGCATCTGAGCGGAGCGGAGGTATTAACAGTGCTGAATAGACCTCTGTGTGAAAGGGACAGCCGGCAGGACAGAACCATGGATGGGATGGGTGTGACCATGGGCGTAAATATAGACAGTGCAGGCAGTGCAGTTGCACAGGGTCCACCACAAATAAACTATAAAAATATTTAACTGAATGAATATCTCCTTATTTTGTCGTGTCGTTTATGTGTCTAGAATGCTTTGCAGCAGCTCTGTACTTACGGACAAAACTCCACTTCCAGGTAATTTTCTTTTGTGCTGTCGAGGAAGAAGCACTCCACAACTGAGGAGATGAAGAACAAATAATAAGAGTAACATTAACAATGACATCATTGATTTTAAGCTACAGTTTAACATCAAGTAAAAATAACAAATAACTTTTGTATATGATATGATATCTTCAGCTCCAATGACATGCGGGGTGCCACAGGGATCTATTCTTGGTCCTGTTTTATATTCACTTTATCTGTTCCCATTAGGACGCATTATCAGCCATTTAAGTGGAGTATCCTCCCACTGTTAGCCAATGTCACCCAGATCTTCCCGTCCTTTAAGCCAGATAACGTTAACTGTCTGAGCACTTCACCACTTTTAAGAAATGGATGACTTGTGATTTTCTGCAGGTATACTCAGACAGAAGTAATAATCTTTGGCCCTGATCAACCGGCAAATAAATTACAACCCTTTATTGGTCCTCGGGCGACTAATATAAAATCTACAACGAAAAATTTAGCCATCACTTTGGATTCTCTATTGAACTTTGAACCACGTCAATAATCTCATTAAATCCTGCTACTTCCTACGTCCTTTCAGCTGTGTCTTTTTATGACCTAGAAAGGCTTACTCATGCTTTTGCATTCTTGCACCTCGACTGCTATAATACACTGTTTACATTCCTCAGTAAATCTTCAGTTGCTCGGCTTCAACCAGTGCAGAGTGCTGCACCTTGAATTTTAACTGGGGCAAATCGTAGGTCACATATCACCACGATCATCACCTCCCTCCACTGGTTGCCAGTTAACCTCAGAAATTAGAGCCTCGATCCTACCCTCACTAGTCGCCCCTAGATTGAGGTTGGTAACTAAAGGTGGCCGGGCGTTTGCCATTGAGGCCCCGAGGCTCTCGAACTGGTGATTGGGCTTGCTAGCACATTACCCGTTTTTAAATTGTAACTTAAGACATATTCTTATAGAAAGGTTTCCCTTTAAATGCCTGGTTTGTAACTTTTGTGTTTTTTAACCATTGTAATCTTATTGTTGTTTTATTTTCACACACTTTGTGGAGCACTTTGTAGCCTTGTTTAGATAAGTGCTATACAAATAAAGTTATCATTCATAGTTGTTGTTATTACATATGTGAAACTCCAAAGTCCAGACCTGATACAACAACTTAATAAGTGACATTAATGAGGTCAAACATGGGGCTAACTAACCAGACATCACACTTACTGAAGTTCAGTCAGATAAGATTATTACTCAACATTACAGGGTTTTTGTTGCTGTGTCACCAACATACAATGATGCCGTAAATATTATGGCCTAATAAACACAACCAACCTCAATGGACTGTATTCACAATTTTATCTGGGCTTTCACAGTGGCATAAAATTGCATAACAAAGACTCCATAAAGTTAGATCACGACAACAATAACAACGTTATGATAAGAACATAAAAGCACACCTGTATAATAAAATGCAATCTGTTCCGACAGGTCATAAATGTTTATAATGTTCAGTTTGGAGTCTGGAAAAATTACACACTGTTTAGTTCTTTATAATCGGTCAAAGGAAAAGTTTGACGTATCGGAAATATGCTCACTCACTGTCTTATCGAGAATTACAGTCAGATGAGAAGCTTGGTATCTCTTTTAATATCTGTCCATTGAACAAGGATGGTTAGCTTAGCTTAGCATTATGACTGGTGACAGGGGAAACCACAACGTACTTCAGTTTTTATTAAGCAAACATTAGTGTACATTAGTGAGATACTGAGGTTGGTGGATTTTTTAAAAGTGAATTTAAGCGATCCATCTTTGGGCTGATGCATTCATAAAACGAGTTATATTGTTGTATTGTCTGTTCAACTGTGCCTCTTGGGGGGAAGCATCATTTGAGTTAATGATAGGAAATCTGCACAGCCGGAGAGAATCATAAATGCTTGTCTGGAATCAGTTTTTGTCTTTTATGAAAAGACTAACATTTTATAGGAGCCAGACACTGCACTGAAATGAACTACAATTGTAACCTCCAGATGGAGGGGGTGGGCTTTTGTTTCTTTTGCTTTGGCTTCATCATGTGGACCTTTTGTTTGTTTGTTAGTTTGTTTGTCTACAGGCTTGATGTGTAGAATATGTCACCTGATGATATAAGGATTAGTGCTGATGGACTTTGGAATCATTAATGTTACTCTGCAAAGATGTGTTTTTGTTTTGTCTGCGCTGTTTGTGTTTATGTATTTGTTTTTTTGTGTTGATGTTCTTAAAATATGAAAAACCTCAATTTAAAAAAATGGGAATGTTGGTAGGCTGTTGGCAGCTGTAGAGGAAGGATTCAAAACTTTTTTTTCTTCAGTAAAATTTTTGATATCCCACAGCAAAAGTTAAAGTCAAAATTCTGCAGTCGGGAGAAATTTTATCAGCATAATATATTTCAATTTACTTTAACATTGTTCAAAGTGGGGCTTTTAATTCTTGTAAAATGCCTGACAGTTTGGTAAATTAATAATGCAACATATTTTTATTGTTATATATGTTGAATAATAATCTAAATCCGCAGCATAACCAGTAACATTAATCTGTCGGCTAAATGTAGTGAAGTGTTTGTCTTTACATTAAAAAGACATTTCCACCTTAAGTTTGTGCATCAATCATCTCCAGACTGCAGGAAACAAAGTGTGTGACGCCCTGTAGCTCTCTCTACAGATGGATCTGCACGTCTACCAAACATACAGCCTCGCCTGAGCCCCCACCTTCATAGTCCCAGAGTCCAGGGAAGGGCTGACTGGGCGGCCCTGCAGGAGCTGCTGGGTCATTGAAGAAGGGACCAAACATCTCGATCTTCAGCCCTCCTTGTCCCGGAGAGAAGTTGATCCTGATGGGGTCATGAGTCACAGGGTCGCTGTCCCAGGTGTGCCAGATCAAAAACTCCATTTTCTTAAAAGGGCTGAAGGAAAAGACTTCAGTGAGAATCTGCTGTGTGACAAAGTGACGCTGTGCAACAACACATTACAAACTTACGAAGATTCACAGCAAAGCAGGATGTAGATGAGCGTCAGACATTGCAGTCCACGAGCGACCCCCATGACGCCAAAGACTCACTGGTTCCAAGAGACTGAACTGTGCTGCAGCTGGGCTCCTCAGGTCTGAATCTACGCCCTGCTCGCCTCTTTAAGCAGTTTGTCATCAAAGCAGGTTACCGACGAACGCGGCTCTGTTACTCAATCATTTATCAAGACAGTAAAACTGACTGCCTGGAAAACTTGGAACTATCAGAGTGAACACACTTGGTGTCAAGGTTTTAGATTAGACCTGATTTCAGCCCTGGACACCTGAACCATTGTTTTCCGACAGAAAAAGAACGTCAGCTTTGGTTAACTTTGCTTCCAATAGGTCTAAACGGTTCATTTTTAAGAAAAAACACAACAACATTAACACAAAAGGCCATTCCTTTTACTCTGGCGCTCCATTCACTCAGTGAGTTCTGTCGCTACATTTCAAAGCTCTGTCCTTTTAGAGGTGGAGACATTTAACGTTTTATGATGTAAATGTTTTGCCTTTTATTTGAGTTTTTCTTGGCTTTGCTGACAGACAGATGCATAGTCGCATTAACATGTAGAAACACAGTGCCCACTGCCCACCCTCCGATTCCTTGGCTGCTCTGCAGTGTGCACCACCTTGGACTGGTGGCTGCAATCCTTAGGTAGCTAGCGCGCTGCTCACTTGGCCATTACACCTGGTAAACACCATTTTGGGGGCAGAGCATGTTGCTGCAGAAACACGTACGGAACAATGGATAGAATGGATAATCCAGGGGCATGAAACCCCCCAAAGAAAAATACTCAAGTCACTGACTCCAAATCCATGGGGTGTGTGACACTGGAGGAAAGCCAACAGACCTCGCTGACATCCTGCCCTCCCTCTGGTTCTTCTAGTGGAGGAGCAGAACACAACCTGGGTCAGTGGGGTTTGATGGAGGCTGCTTGGGGGCTTTTTCCCCCAAGAGTTTCATGTCCCGTCCTCTGGACAGGCAGACCTGTCCCTCTGGACCATGCCTTCTGACGTTAACCCTCAACAAAGTACCAACAGACGGAAATGTTTTTAATCAACATTTCAAAGTGGAAATCAATGACTTTTCAGCTGGCTAGTGTGTGTTGTGGAAATTTTCTGCTGGTGAATAATGAAATAGAGACTTCTGCCGGCCGACAAGGTTTTTATTTTCTTTGCAAAGAAAAGGTCAATCAACACATGAGAGGTCAGAATGAAGAAAGACCCCGAGCATTTCAAAGCCTAAAGTGTTTCACACCCTTTCGTCTGCTGCAGGTATTGGCACCGACCCCCTAGGGTGTGTTTCACACCTGGCGTATGCTGCAGGGTTTTGTATCCATGTTGAAAACACAAAGAAATTGAAATTACAATTACATGTGCTAGCTATGCTAACTAGCATAACACTGGCAGCCAGAAACAAACATCTATGACCTATTGTCTGTTTTTTAATCTATACAAAGATCATGTTTTCTTGTAAATCAAAGACTGTTGTTATTTTTACAATAATAATCTTAAAAACTATATTTGGCAATCTGTGTCTGTTCAGCATAAAACTGTGGCTCTGCAGGTCGATGCTCCTCAAATGCATGAAAAAAATGCTTGCTGTGCCTTTTTATTGTTGCCAGGCAACACCATCACCTCCTTACCCTAACTTTTATCCTGCAGTAATCAGTGTGTAGCTGCTGCCATGTTGAGGCAGAGGGTACTGTCTGTAGCTCTGGTGAGGGATAAACAGATCTGTGTGGGTACATGAGACCCTAAAAAACAGGCTGGATCATGGGGAGTACCACCAGTTGGTCCAGGAGCCAAAACAGAGTGAAAAAAGTTTCATTCTATTCGTGTTTGGGGCCTTAATTTTAATGATAGTAGTGGCAACATATTCTGTTTCTACTCAATGTTAATCACTAACAACTATGAATATATTTAATGTCACAATTAATTATTATCATCTGTGAAAAACAACAACAGTTTAAAGGGTAAATAAGATGCCAGGGTGCATTAAAAGCATCAAATTGAGCTTGTTTAAGAAACAAGGTCCCCAGAACACGAGCAGCAGGCTCGTCCTCTGATTGCACCAATGTTCCGGTCAGGCTCCTTTACGAGGAGCTGCGGAAATTGACGAGAGTAGCCGAAGAATAAACCGGACGTCGAACAACTCGGAAAGGCGGAAGTAGCACTAGCATTAGCTTTGTGCAGCTGCTGAAGTTTACCAATAGAAATATAAAGCCCCTTGTGACTGTTTGTCTGCGCTCCTGTTGTCATTTATTAACGGAAACATGTCGCGACAACGAGATGAAATAAATACACGAAATCATAAAGTGACTTTGGTTCGATACAAAAAGTTCTCATAGAGAATTATCACAAAACTAAAACTGAATTCCGCTTCTGCCGTTATTAAAGCTGTAAGCGGTTAAACTTACAGATAATCAGCTTTAACATTCAATGAAGTGTGAACGAGCGTTTATATTCTATTTATGTTGGAAGCTTTTATGCTCTGTTAGTTGTTAGCTCCTCTGTTAGCTCCTCTGTTAGCATTTACAATAATGTACAAGCATACAGGTGACTGAGGTTAGCATACCTTATTAGCCGAGTTAACTCAAGAACAGAAACTTCCAAACTTTAAGAGTCGGACATTTTCATGCAGCTCAAACTTCCTCCTCTGAGTCTTCTTCTTCTGGCGTTTAATGGCGGTCAGCAAACAGCTGTTAGGTGCATCACCGCCACCCTCTGATGTGGAGTGTACATCCTTGTGCCTACATTTATTCTGCTTGTCCAGCTGGTCTTCTCCAAAAATGCAAATATTGTCATGTTTTCCTCATACCTGAGTTCCAGTTTGATGTGCTCCTTTTTTCTGTCAATAACTAATAATCAATAACACTCTCGAGTGTTCCCTGCATGTGACACTGTTCACACACACACACACACACACACACACACACCAGTCCGTTTCATATTTACCAGTTAACTTAAGTGTAGGCCTATCTCACATAATGTTAAGCAGCGTGTTGCCATGACAACAGCATCAACACTCCTCTTGTGGTAATGAACACCGTCACACTGGAGTTTATGTTGTTGTTACTAAAAACCAAATCTGAAGCAGTACCCGGCCCTAGCAACAGTAACCATGGGGGCGGGGCTTAGTGACGCATCAGACGGTGCGAGATCCCGGAGGCTCTTTTAGTCTTGTCCAACTGCAGAGTCCACGAGAGAGGAGGAGCAGGAGGAGCAGGAGGAGCGGAATGGAGGAGGACAAGCAGAACCCGGAGCACCGGAGCAACAAGGTCCGGAGAAGACAAGCAGCAGGCTCGTCCTCTGATAGCAGCGATGTTGAGGTGAGTGTTGATGACGTCATGGATAAAAAGGGCTTGACAGCAGCCTTTAGGATTTCTCTTTATTGGTCTGGATTTCCCGCGCGCGCGAAAGAATTGAAGACTGATGATGTCTAAAAGGTTTTTTGCACGTGTGTATGTGTTACACAGTCAGTTAATGTAACCAGTGTGTGAAGCTTGGTCAGTGATTTTCACAGGAGGAAGTGAAATTCTTGATGTTGTTACAATGGTTGCCAACACAATTTTGTTGTTAAAGCCGTCATATAAATTTTTTTTTGTCAACTGATTTGCTAGATGCATCCTAACAGATTTTTGGGGCGCCTGCTGGAGATGGATAGAGCCTCATACCTTACATACAAATACCACACAGAGGGACAATGGTGGTATAGTGGGGGTCCTCCCACAGAAAATTTAGATGTGACTTCCTGCATTGTGGTGGGTTTAAGGGCAGCATTGTGGAGATGGGCAATACCTACATTCATTCAAAGCCACCCTGACTCGCAGGACCTTCACAAGTGAACCTGCATTCAGCTCAGAGTGACTGAACTAGTTAAAAGCAGAAACTAGGACTTGCCTATGTGGCATATAGCCTATTACTTTATAGACACAAGACCCACTTTGGATTTAAAGCTAAATTCATGGTGGAAATGGTTGAATATATTTTGATTAAGATCGAACTAAAATATTATTTTGGGAATAATAATATATTTTGTGTATTATTGTCATCTAAAGAGCATTTCATGATGTATATCTAGACTATGCAAGTCTAAGAGTGCCTGGACCTAGGCCATTTCATTTTTGGCATTTACAAAGCTCTCCAAATGCCTTTTGACATAGCTGTGGAAATTAATGCAAAGTCACTTTTATGCTAGAGCTGCACGATTTGATAAAAATGTGCAGTTGCAATTTGAGCAGACTATATCGCGAGTTGCGATTGCAATTACAATATAATAAAAAAAAAAGGTGTCATTAGTCTTCTTGCTTGACTCCTACATTATATTTGGCACAGTCAAACACGCTGCTCACACAGCAGCGCAGCACGGCGCTGTACACACAGTGAAGCGAGCCTGTCTTGTGTTCAGACGTTGTCACGTAAATGACAAATTCCAGCGCTATAGCACAACACAACTTAATTTTTCTTTTGTATAGTTTGTTATGGAGTCCGTGATTTCCCGTGACACTTACAGATGTTTGCGTAACTGTGCTTGGATGTTGTTTTATGAGGCTCTGGTGTCTTTCAGTTGTCTCTTTGTCTTTAACGTTACACGGCTCGGCTTTCTCTCACATGGACTCTTCCTACTTTTCTCTGTGCTGTCTCAAGTGTTGATATAGATCGGTCATGTTGCTGCGGGACGTGGCGACTTAAACTTTTAAACTTTTACACAGCACGTCTTTCTGTTCAACGTCGCCGTACCTGAATCCAAAGTATCGCCATGTCATAGATGTTATGTTTTTTTCACCGCTAACTCAGCCTGTTCTTGGTCAAGCTCATGCTCTTCTTCAGCGTCTGTGTTGGTCACTGCTGCACGCCAGCTGGTCACCTGACCATACGTTGAGGTTTGTTTGGTTTTTGTTATTGTCTGTTTATAGATTTCGTAATTTAACTTATGTATATAATGTAATTCACTCTTGTTTGAATAAAAAGTGAATTGAATCATTAGTTTGACATGTATCATTTTTCATGATTATACAGTATAATTCATTTTAAAAGCAGATGGATTTCACTATACTAACCTGGGAAGAGATGACGGCTTTACTCCACTATAAGGAAATGGCTCCGAGACGATGTGTAGCCTACCCTGAACATAATTACTGATTATTAAAATAGACATGATAAAATAATCACAGCTTCCCAGAGACTGTGATGGGTGGCAGTCCAATAGAAAATTGAACAGAATAGTAGTTGCGTGTTAGTGTTGTTCAGATGTAAAATCAGCTGTAGTTTGTGTGTGGTGGTGAGCAAGGCACCGTTCATGAACTGCTGAAGATTACACTGGACATTTTGAGATGTAATTATGATTCAACTGTGCATTGGTTAAAGCAATGAGACGCATTGAACATCTGTATTACACATTTTGATCACCTGCCGCTCATTAAGTTCGCTATGCCATGGCCACCCCACACTAGCTCTACAGCCCACCTTGGCCACCCCAGTAAAAATGTTCTGGACACGCCACTGACTGTGAAACCATTAATGGGTCCTTCAGGCACATTTCCAGATGAAATGTAATGATCTGAGGTCCCAGTACAGGGTTTTGTGACCAAAGAGATGCTGGGACTCATTCTGCTGCGTGGATTACTTGACAAAACCATTTTAGTTAGTCTTGTGGGTCGCCAACAATCACAAACTGTGGTTGGGTCAAAATAAATCCATAATTAGCTTGATATGAAACATATTGATCTGTACACTGTGGCCTCTGCCTCTCAGTTTGTCTGCTGACCCACAGCACACCCCTGCAAGAAACCACTGTAGCTTCTAACTAAATCTGTCTGGTTTGGAATTTAGTTTCTCTCCCGTGTCCTGTTTTTACTTTATATATCTGCTCTATTTTACTGTCTCATCTTCACTTTCAACTGAGTTGTGTGAAGTTACTGTTGATGAGGGGCTTTTATGTTATGATAAAATACAATCACAGTTGTACAGAGGCCAGTGCTAGCCCAGGCCCATCTGTGGACACGGCCCTGCAGTTGGTTATCTCTAACATTGTGGGTTATTTTCCACAGACATGCTCTGAATTTAATGTATGGTTTTAGATGGCTCGCTCCACCCTGACACATCACTAACACTCCCCCTCTGTCTGTTGCTATAGAACCAGGGAGGAAGAGGCAGAAGCAAGCATCACCGCTGTCAGCGCTGTGACAAATCCTTCTCATCATCTGGAAAGTTAAAGGTTCATAAAAGAATTCACACTGGAGAGAAACCATACAGCTGTGATCAGTGTGGGAAAACTTTCACTCGGTCATATCAACTAAGAGTCCACCGACGTGTTCACACCAGAGAGAAACCATACAGCTGTGACCAGTGTGGTAAAGCATTCGCTACATCAAGTCAGCTTCAATGTCATCATCATACTCACGCTGAAGAGAAACCATACAGCTGTGACCAATGTTGGGCAGCTTTTAAACGAGCAGATGTTCTGAAATGCCACCAGCGCATTCACACGGGAGAGAAACCATACAGCTGTGACCAGTGTGGTAAAGCATTCGCTACATCAAGTCAGCTTCAATGTCATCATTATACTCACGCTGAAGAGAAACCATACAGCTGTGACCAATGTTGGGCAGCTTTTAAACGAGCAGATGTTCTGAAATGCCACCAGCGCATTCACACGGGAGAGAAACCATACAGCTGTGACCAGTGTGGTAAAGCATTCGCTACATCAAGTCAGCTTCAATGTCATCATTGTACTCACATTGAAGAGAAACCGTACAGCTGTGACCAATGTGGGGTAGCTTTTAAACGAGCAGATGTTCTGAAATGCCACTAGCGCATTCACACGGGAGAGAAACCATACAGCTGTGATCTATGTGGAAAATCTTTTACAATTCAAAGACAACTAGAAAATCATCAACATATTCACACTGGAGAGAAACCGTACAGTTGTGACCAGTGTGGTAAAGCATTCGGTACATCAGGTCTGCTTCAATGCCATCGTCGTACTCACAATGAAGAGAAACCATACAGCTGTGACCAATGTGAGAAATCCTTTAGAATTCGAAGCCACCTAGAAAATCATCAACTTATTCACACTGGAGAGAAACTGTACAGTTGTGGCGACTGTGGGAAAGCTTTCTTCACCCATGGTAATGTTATTAGGCATCAAGTTGTTGACACCAAAGTGAAATCATACTGGTGTGACAAATGTGGGAAAACCTTTGCTTCCTCAGGTTACCTTAAAGTTCATTACCGCATACACACTGGAGAGAAACCTTACAGCTGTGAACAATGTGGGAAATCGTTTTCTTGTGGTAATTCCTTAAGAGCTCACCAACAATGTCACACTGCGTCGCCCTGAACGGCCATCAGAGCCAAGCTGGCTGTATCCTCTAATGTCCTCACCATACTCTGATAGATGTGTTGTTATATTCTGAGTTTTCACATTAAGGATGACCAATGCTAACACTGTTCTGTAAAGCAGGTATGTTATTATTAGCATCATCAGGAACAACTTGTTGATACCAGATTGATATGATGTATCTGGTCACGTGTTTGATATTTGAAGTAGATGTGTTGAAGTCTGTGTTAATTGGATGAAAATGTTTATTAGTTTCAGTCATATTTTAGTCATTTTAATCCTTCATAGTCAACGAAAATTCAAAACTATCTAGTCAAACTTTAGCCATTTTGTTTTCTATATGTTTTTTATCTATATGTTTTTTTGAAAATCTTTTCCTTCCTGAGCTCCACCTGTATAAAGACGGAGGCTCAGCAGGGCCGAGCTCTTCTTCTTTTTGACTCTCGTTGGAGGTTCAGAGACACACGTTTAGTTGATAGAGCTTTATTAGAAGACTGTTTCCTGTTTTGTTTTGTTTTTGCGTAGAGGATTTTAATGTCCATATCATTTGTTTAGATCAAATAAAAAATAGTTTGTAGGCTCTGCAGTGGGATCAAAGTTCCTGGTGTTGGTCTTTTCTCTGAAAGCCTCCTGTGACAGCTTCACTACTACGTTGAATTGAATTTGAGTTGTTATTAAAGTGATGATCAAATGATGATGTAGACATCCTAGTTTTATTGGCCATCTTTCTAACCGTGAACGACTTCTTTATGCACTCTGGGGGGAAATTTATGGTCATCATAGAAGCCGGCATTGTTGCAGATCACTTCTTTTTTTTCTTTCTTTCAAAATCTTGTATTTGTCCACTGTAGATCAGAGCTTTGCTTACAGGTCGCTGGGCTTCAGTGTGCTCGCTCTGTTCTTACCTCCTTTTCAAGAAGAAAGTCGAGCACGCTTTTCAACTAGTTATCCAGAAATCCAACTGTATCGCTCGACCTCCCCTGGTTCATTAGCCTGGCTTCAACATTAGCTTGGTGCTGCATTAGCTGCTTCATTAGCGTTGATGTTGCTTGAAGCACGGTCAGGGATGGGCAGTATTTCTATTACATGTATTTAATATATGTATTTGAGTATTTTGAAATTTGTATTTGATAAGGCCGATAAAAAGCAAATGTAATTTGTAACTAAATACTTTTGAGTGGAGTAATTTTGTATTTAAAATACTCAAAATACTTTCTTCATGAATCAAAAAACAAAAATAATAACAGTTCTTGTTTGACGTCTGAAAGTTGTACTCTGTTAACTCTTCTGAACTCCTGAAGTTAATTTACAACAAATAAATGAATGAGCTGTTTATTTTCTTGTCTGGGCATTTTAACACGGCCCACCTCTTATGGGATTATTTAAAGAAAAACAGTTTCCTAGTGCCATCACGCTGACACAAAGCAAAATGAACACCTTATACAAATAATAAACAGATGAATGTTCAGCATAAAGAGTGTGGGAGGACAAACAGGAGAGAGCAAGAGTGAGAAGGGAAGACTGAGAATTTTTTGCAGGTTAGCTTCAGGGCCGTCCTCGTCATGTAGGGTCTGTTGAACTGCTTCGGCTGTCTTGCTTCTCTTCTGGAATGTTCTGTTATTTTACAAAACTGTCGGGCTGCCGTCCCCTCAGTGGCAAAACTGGAAATCTAATTTCATGTTTAACTGTGTATGTATAATACTGAGGTCACAGGACATCAGTCAGCCGTCTCCGGGTCAAACATCTGTCTTCAGCGGACACTGGCAGGCTTTGAGTTCAAATTCAGCTTCATCACTGAAGGATAAACAGAGAGATGATAAAAGCAGGAGCTCATCCAGGTGATTTAATTCATTCATTTCCTCTCTGGAGCTCCAGCCATCAGACCTCTCCTGCTCCCCTTCTCTCTTCACTCCTCTGCCTCCCTGCTGATGCTTCTGGAGGTGAACATCAGTCTTTGGTTCGAAGGTAACACCTGTTTACATCCTGTTCTGTATTGTTGACACAAAGATGCACTGACATTTGAAACTGTTTCCATCAGTCAGTATTAGCTGAGCTGTTGTAGTCAGCCTCCTCAGCATTAACACTGTTTCATGACTCATTGGACTCGTTATCCTTCATGATGTGACAGCAGTGAGACAATAAATGAGCTCATTGGTTAAAGCCCACACAGCAGCCGTGATTGACATTGTCAAATGTTCCTAAAAGTTTTTTAGGTTGTTTAATTTCTGTAAAACCACTGACATCAGGTCCTCATGCTCATTAATATTTATGAACACTCTCTCTTCACTGGATGAGAGCTCACTGACCTGAGAGCACAACACGTCATACTCTGAAAACCACACTAAGCAGAGGGGAAAATAACAGTGCTGCAATGTGCTACTCAGGGCTGAAATGCTAATGAAATGGCTGCAGTGAGCTAAAGGTATCAGACATCAACATGTCAAGGGATTATTTTAGCACCTTCAGTGTTGCTTCTCCTGACTTTGCTTATCTCAGAGAAATGATTCCACTGAATGGTTTGATGGAATCACCAGGTGAGATCATTATTTAAGCTCATAAAGATCAAAACCAGGCCAAAAAAGTGTTTTGTTTTGTTTTTTTTTTTAATTTTGTTTTGTTTTGTTTAAAAACGTTGATTTAATAAATTGTACTGCTGTTTCCCTCCTGACCTCCAGATGGCGACCTTCTTTCACTTTAATCTGGAAAAACCTGGCCGGAAATACAAGTAACCGGAAGTCTCGTGTGTGTTGTAGCGTTAGCTGAGGAGCATATTTGTCAGTGTTGAGGCGGCAGAGCTCCAGGTAAACCCGCACACACTCAGGTAAACACTTTAATAATGTTTCTGTCACGCGAACATCAAAGCGAACCCGAGCAGAAGCGAACACAAGGCCGAACTGCGCCTGCGTTAGCACGCTGGGCTAGCTCCGATGCTAACCAGCTAATTAGCCGCTGTTAGCTTGGTCCAGCTGGTGTGTTGCTAGCTGTTAGCGTTAGCTGACTGTGTTAGTTTGTGTCCTCTGAGTGAAGCACAGTTACTTTGTGTTTAAGTCCAGTTTGAAATGAGCCCATGCTAACGGAGCTGCGCACAAGCTAACAGGCTAATTAGCAGCTAATCTGTCTTTGTGTGTGTCGTCACAGAATGAACTCCTCAGTGTTTGTGACAGAGAAACACAGTGACCAGTGAGGTGTGTGTGTGTGTGTGTGTGTGTGTGTGTGTGTGTAGCTGCTGACAGTCTGTGTTGGACTGTAAGAGACAAACACACACAGAATATTCTGCAGAGTCAGTCTGCCTCCTCTACGTCAGCGACTGTCAACCCCCCCATCCATCATCCAGGTCCCTGCCTGCCAGAGAGTGAACTTACTGAATATTATGTCCAATAATGAATCCCCCAAATTATACAAAATCTAGAGATGCACAATAATACAGGCACATCATCAGTATGGACCAGTATCGTCTTTAAAATGAACTGACAGAATCAGCCCACATGCTTCTTCTTATTTAGCACAATAAATGAATATCATCATGTCTCCATCTGCTGCTGGGACGGCATAAGAGTCTCTCTAAATGTCAGTGACGTCATTTCTGCTCCTTTTGCTACCGATATGTCAGAAACAACAGAGACAGAAGTGCTCATTTGTGTGACACTGAAAAAAAAAAATACAGCCAGAGTCGTAACACACACACACACACACACACAGTTAAACAGGAGCACCTGAACATCTCTGTGTACTTTGATTTGTACTGGACAGAATCCAGAGAGAGACCAGGACATCAGAGTCCATGAGAGAGGAGGAGCAGGAGGAGCAGTAGAGGAGCGGAATGGAGGAGGACAAGCAGAACCCGGAGCACCGGAGCAACAAGGTCCGGAGAAGACAAGCAGCAGGCTCGTCCTCTGATAGCAGCGATGTTGAGGTGAGTGTTGATGACGTCATGGATAAAAAGGGCTTGAAGAAACACTTTAGGATTTCTTTGCTAGAAAGATTTTCTTTCATGGCACCTTGTGTGCTTTCACGAGTGAACAAACAGACTCTAAAATTACAGGGTTTTAAATAACTTTTAGGGTCTGTTTATGCAGATTAATTTAATATCTGACATCAATAGATGCAAAAACAGACTCACAAGGCTGAGTGTCAGTTTCCATGTACGCAGGTGTGAGTGAAGTATGTGCGACTCCTCTACGATAGGTGGAGATATGCCCCCTTTCAGCTTGTTAGTATTGGACCTTTTTCCTGTTGACCTATTACGTCACAGACCAAACAATGGACAAACAAGTTAGCTACGGTTAGCTAGCAGCTAACTGCTACCATGGTGGACAACTTTACAGCTCTGTACATTTGGTCCGTCCAAAAAGTCACGGCTCTGGATGTAGATTTCTCCATGTTGTTACCGGCTTCTTCTTCTCTTACACATTTAATGCTATTGGACTTCCTACTATAAAACAGGCTGTTGTCTCTCTCTATATGTCTGTCTGTTGCTATAGAAACAGAGAGGAAGAGACGGGGTCAAGCATCACAGCTGTCAGCACTGTGACAAATCCTTCTCATCATCTGGAAACTTAAAGGTTCACGAAAGAATTCACACCGGAGAAAAACCATACAGCTGTGATCAGTGTGGGAAAACTTTCACTCGGTCAGATAAACTAAGTGTCCACCGACGTGTCCACACCGGAGAAAAACCGTACCGCTGTGAACAATGTGGGAAAAGTTTTTCTCATAGTGACAACCTTAAAGTCCACCAGCGCATTCACACGGGAGAGAAACCATACAGCTGTGACCAGTGTGAGAAAACTTTCATCACTAAAAGTAACCTAGAAATCCACAGTCGCGCTCACACTGGAGAGAAACCTTATGAGTGTGGCCAGTGTGGGAAAGCTTTCATCTTTCTAAGAAGTCTAGAAAAACACCAACGTGTTCACTCTGGAGAGAAACCGTACAGGTGTGAACAATGTGGCAAAAGTTTTTCCCACAGCGGCAACCTTACAGTCCATCAGCGCATTCACACCGGAGAGAAACCATACAGCTGTGACCAGTGTGAGAAAACGTTCATCACGCAAGGTAACCTGGAAAATCACCGCCATGTTCACTCCGGAGAGAAACCGTTTGAGTGTGACCAATGTGGGAAAAGCTTCTCTCGGGTCAATTGCCTCAAAGTGCACCAACGTGTGCACAGTGGAGAGAAACCATACAGCTGTGAGCAGTGTGAGAAAACCTTCGCTCACAGTGGGAACCTTAAAGTTCATCAACGGACTCACAGTGGAGAGAAATCGTACTGGTGTGACCAATGTGGGAAAATGTTTAATAGGTCAGATTCTCTTAAAGCTCACCAACGTGTCCACACTGGAGAAAGACCATACTGCTGTGACCAATGTGGGAAAGCTTTTTCTCATGGCAGCCACCTTAAAGTCCACCAGCGCATTCATGCTGCAGCGTGTTGAACAGTCTTGCATTGTACTCCTGATTTTATTTAGCATTTTAAAAATCATGTTTTTCATGTAGTCATTCTTGTTTTGCTCAGAGTTTGCGTAGAATTTTACACATAAATCTGGCATGCATTAATATATTTTTACCTGAACGTTTTTTTTAACTCTGAACGAATGAAGGACTGCCTCACACCAAACACAAACGATGAAGGCTTGGCTGATTTTAAAAAAAATATTATCACACACCTTGTAACCAAACATGCAGCATATTAAAATTGTATTCATTAACACAGGCTGTAATACACAATAATATGTAAAGTGTGAAGTTAATTAGGCATTGGCCAAATGTCATAATTATTGTCATAATTAAAACATTATGCCTTAAAAAAATGATCATTGCAGTCTTGACTCAGTGGGGTATGAGAGAATATTGAAATGAAACTGTTTAGGTTTTCTGTTTTTCCTTTTTTTAATTGACCTGGCCAATAGTGTCTTACAGTGACAGCTCAGATCGTAAACAACAACGAGTGTCGTACGCGTTAATCCATCATTTTATCTCGTGTAGTGTGTCGTAGTAAACAATAACCGATGCCTCACCGCGTTCCAACAGAAAGTCTAGCATGTTTGATTTTTCTTTTTGTCTTCTACGACTTCTCCCGTCACATCCGTCACTTTGACCAATAGGAACACAGAGCGATCTGTTGCCATGGAAACTGCACGACAACAACAGCCCAGCCTTTTAGATATTTCCTGTAGGGACGTTAGCACACAGAGTAAAAAGGAAACAGCAGAGGCACTTTATCAACCTGCTGAGTACTGCCATTAGCATCAAGCTAGCAAAGAATGTTCTTTCTTCATAATGGAGAATATAAAGGAATAAAATTCTAGTTTTAGTTTAATCAAACTCAACACTTCCTGTAGCAGTTTCAAATTAAAAGCCCTGTATCATTTCAGCTGAGAGAATCCCTTCATTTTCTAAATAGGCTTTTATTGTGAAACATTTGCAGGAACTTCCTGTGGAGGATTCAGTGACTTCAAATGTAGCTCCGCCCATCTGGTGACACTTTTTACAATACAATAACAGTTCGGCTGACACATGAACAGACATAGTGACTAAAATCATAGTAAAAATAATAAAAATAGGACAGGAGTAACCCGATGACATCACACATGCTGTGAAAGATGACCGGGGGTGATTGGTCATGGACCATCGTGTGGTGTGTCATGTCTGTCGGCCAAGTCTCGGCACAATTTTATGATTTCACAATCAACTACTCTGAAAAAGTGACGGAACGGACAGAAATGTCGTGTAGTATGAGCCTGGCGTAAGACTTCCCGTCTAGCACTACTGTGTAAAAACAGCATATGAAACGCTAATAATAATGATATTAACAGCCTACCATGGAGAAGGCTCTCTCGCCCCAGGTCCGGTGCTTGGTCCTGAGTGGTGGAGTCAGGAGGTTGGCATGAAAGGAGCGGAGGCTGCAGTGTGTGGAGGAAAGTCCTACTGAACTGAAATACACACTGTGGTAAAACTTGAAACAAATTTATGACCTTGCTGCTCAGTGGGAAGTCGTTCCCCTCAACAAGGTACAAACTTGATGTCACAAATGTAAGTTGACTGCCTCCCCAAAAGTCCTGACACACCAAGCTGACGGTCAGCCATCGGTAAAAGCTGGGCCGTCGGTGAGCATCTGTCAGCTTTTTTTCAGCCAGATGGCGGGAAAATAACTGACTAGCCTCGTCTTATTTTAAATTACTGGGGCAGCAGGAAACTGGAAGTGGCTGCGGCAGCTCGACTACACAACAATATCCAAACCGAGACCGTTTACTTTAGATTCATTTCCTGTATCTGTCTCCTGTGCGTTCCTTCACACCAGCAGTGGCCCTGAGTTCATTCATTACAATGAGAAAAGTGAACGTGAGTACAGATTATGTTTGTTTCCTTCACCCCATAATCACTGAAGTGTAATTTACTCATCACGTACAGAGAGACAGGACAACTTGTTAACTGGCAGCCATGTTGTTTAGTGATCACATTCCAGGTTACAGACTACGGGTGCTGTGTAAGGTCAGTCAACTGCAGCTACGGAAAGCAAAGCACCATGTGAGCTTGCGTAATAAGACACAATACGTCACATTAAATACATTTTAGACCAATTTTCCACAAGCCTCGACCCTTCTAAACTCACTTGAATGGCATTTTTTTTTTCACACAGACATATGAGGAGAAAATTAACTTTGATTAGAGACGTCTCTGTTTTAGCATCATACTCTCACCAGATCTGGCAACAAGTGACATGATCTTACACTCGACTGATTTCAGACATTAAGCGAGCAGATAAAAACAAGGACCAACCATTAAATTTGTTCTGTATATAGTGTTGAATTGTTGTGAATATGATTTCATTCATTCACATAATGTTTACTACACTTCCAAATGAGATGGAGGGATGAACATGTGTCCCGTTCACACAGAAAGCATTTTGCAGGTTGCAATCTGTGAGGCCCACAGCACTGGGTTTTTTTGGTAAACCACTACTACTTCTAGTGAAAAAAAAAAATCCTTGCTGCGCCTTTTTATTCTGACCTTCCTGTGAAACCACTCTAACGTTTCTGTATCCTGCAGTAATCAGTGTGTAGCTGCTGCCATGTTGAGGCAGAGGGTGCTGTCTGTAGCTCTGGTTGAGGGTGAGAGGCTGTCAGCAGATAAACAGAGATCTGTGTGGGTACATGAGACCCTAAAAAAGAGGCTGGATCATGGGGAGTACCACCAGTTGGTCCAGGAGCTTCTCCTCCATCATGGACGTTTACAGGCAGATTTTAGGACGACTCAGGGGCAGTTTGACAACCTGCTGTCTATCATCAGGCCGTATAGCTCTGGGTATCCAGCAACCACTACCACCAGTTTCTCCTCCATTGTTTACCAACTGTAAACTTTTTGTTGTGACCACCACAGAAGAGCACAGAAACATGAGGTGCATCGCAACACAGAAACAGCCATCAAAAAGCTTCGTACTCATTAAAAACTATTACAAACTGCTAAAATATTTTCTGTGTGATCAGGGCCTTAAGGAGACCAGAAGAGTATATATTTCATACCACTGGCACCGATTGAAGAGGGTCATCTTCTGTTATAGAGGATCTTTGCTACAAGCATGGGTGCATTTAGAGTTGAAATAGTGGCACATGATTAATGCGGTTAACATAAATAGTCATATTTGGGCAATAGTGCCATATATTTTGTTGTATTGTCACATGATCAAATACAGACTTGATGTCATCGTCACTGCAAATCTGTATAAGACAAAACTACCAAATAAAAGAAATTCTTCAGTAAACTGATTTTTTTTTAAAGTTTATTTATAGTTTATATAGTTCATGTAAAATGAAAATATAATTTTGTCAGACTTCTACTGACTGACTGTGTACAGGGCCCCCACCTCATGGGCCCCAGTGCAACTGCACTGCCTGCACTATCTATATTTACACCCTATGTCAGACTTCAAGATCCAGACTGACAAGACGCTGCTAACCGACCAGACGTGGTGATGGCTGACGAGAAACTGACAGCAGTCGTAGTAGATGTGTCGACTCCAGCTGAGAGTCACATCAGGAAGAGACTGAGAAGTACCTGAAGGAACAACTGGAACAGATGTGGCAGATGAGGTTTAAAGTCGTCTCAGTGGTAAATATCTTAATTCTTTCTCATACTTATTTACATCTGTACACAACAGTCAAATGTTGATGTTTACCTTGTTTATCTTGTTCTTATTCTTAAATGTCCTTACTTACAGTCCACCACTGAATATAAAAATGGTAATTAAATTAACTAGTCCATAGCCATTGGTAGCTGTGTCACCTTCTACCTATGCCAGTCCTCAATGCCTATGTGCAGTTTCACATAGATTGACCACGTCAGTGAGTAGAAAAACGTGGGACAGACAGAATGACTGACTGACAGAATGACACACTGACAGTTTCCGTGATTATGTACAGCATACCATACCATGACTTAGTCATACCAAACATTAGAAAACAACACCAACATTGGTCCACAGGGGGAGCCACAGCGATCGGTCGCATTTTAGCCATTTTGAAGCATTTTTCTGTTGTTATAGCGCCACCCAGTTGCCAATTAGAGTTAAATTTCTCCAGTCACCTTGAGGCGTCCTGTTCTACATATCTACCAAGTTTAGTAAAAATCCATATGGCGGTTAGGCCTAGATAAGAAATGAGCTCTCTAGCGCCCCCATTTTGTTTGATGGGGTCAATAATGGAGGGGTCCCCTCAGATTATGTGTGGTCATATGCCTACAAAGTTGCGTGGTGATGGGTGAAACCCTTGAGATGTTATACACCTTTATGTGATGAGCCACGCCCTCCGCAATATTCATTGCCTTATAGAAGCTCAGTTTTAGTAAGTTTTCCAACTTTTGCCAAGAGGGAACTTTAGATATTGGTCCCTAGATTATGTTCACCCAGTTTCATGCAGATCGCTCAAACTTCCTAGGAAGAGATCCATTTGAAGTGTTTTTCAAAAAATTCAAAATGGTGGAAAATCTATATAAGCGGAAGTTATGGGTTCTTGAGGCAAATGTGTTCCTCATGAGGAGAGGCATCTCTGTGCAAAGCTTCATGTCTCTACCACATATGGGGCATGAGATATGCCCATTCAAAGTTTGACATTTCAATCGGTTGCTATAGCGCCCCCCTTTGGCCAATTGATGTAATATTGCTTCATTGGCATCCTCCCATGACCCTCTACCACTGTGCCAAATTTCACATGGATTGACAGGGCTTGACGCTAACTTTTTTCCCAAGGAGCACATGTGCTCCTAAGTTGAAAAAGTAAGGAGCGCACAAAGAACTTTAGGGGCACAATGTAAATTGATCAAATAATGTGTTTTCCGTAATAAACGTGATGCAAATAGACATTTACAAGCAAAATTATTTAATGAATTTGAATACAAAATGTACAGAAAGGTAAAATCATCAAGTTTTGAAAAAGTATTACAATTTAATTTTGTCTTTAATGTTATTATCTTATATATATTATCTTTACAATATGATTATCTTATATAATGTTATTACTATCCTAAAACATTCTCCAGGTCCTCTGAAACTCTGCAGGACTTATTTCGACCCTGCCCAGCAGCGGTAACATGGAGAACGGTCCCTAACTGCGGGGAGAACGGAGCAGGCTTCCCTGGAGGTCTGCCACTTAACCCGGTCCATCTCCTCCACCACACTTTGACTTATTTCCACGCTGCCAACAGTGGGACTTATATTCATTGTGCCGACAGTGGCTTGGAAAACTGCCTATAACCGTGTCACGCGGTGAAGAGGGAAGAGGGAAGGCAGCTGGAGTTCCTCCAACATTTGCGGTTA